TATGTATGTATGTATGTATGTATGTATGTATGTATGTATGCATACATGCATTCCTATTGACATGGTCCATTTCCTTTCCCTGAGCAAAGTAAATCAACACACAATCGAATTCATAACCGATAAATCAGTCTAGGTCTTGCATGTGGGTAGAGTTCTACCAGGTTTCTTCGACAATTCGGGGATCTTTGATTTGAGCCTTATGTAACCAAATACTAACCCGCAAGGCAGCCAGAAAGTCGTATAAAACAGCAATCAAGATGTATTTTAGCTACAGGAGCTTTTGCTGCACATCCATTTCTCATTGAGGCCTCGTCGCCACTGAAGTTTTGAAAATCACCCAGGTGATTTCATAGACTTGTTTGATTCAAGTAGTAATTTCTCATGAAAAGAAAACACAAGGGGAAGTTTCCTTTATCAAGAATAGATTCTGGAAAATCAGTTCAACTTATGTTCTTATGTCCCTCCCTCTCTTCATTGCTCTCAGAATATGTGACAATATATTTCACATACGTCAGAGAACAGACGCGTCCTCTTGGTTGGTTTGGAATCAGGGTTTTTGTACAACTCCCTTAGACGAACTACCGGTGGTTCACCGACCTGGATGTTTCCTTTTCGTTCTCTCACTTTGATGAGGAAACACCTCCGCCAGAAGAAGGTGGTCAGTAGGGCTTCCACAGCAGAGGCTGTTTGAGGTGCTTGATTGTATGGTAGTATTTCTTGAGGTTCAAGGGAGAGGTGACCAGTTGGAACCCAAGACACCCAACCTCGACCATACTGAGGCTTTTGGAGGCTCACTCAGATTGTTCACAGGGGTCAAGAAAAATATCAAGTCTTGATTTCAATCCCAGCTGCTTATTTGGTGCCAGGGTGTGCCCGCGCCAGGATCAGGGTCCCTTATTTCTTGATGAAGGTGAAAAACTCTTCAGTCGATCACGACCATCCAAAACTCCATTGAAATTGCTCATTGACAACAAATCGAACAGACTGGCGACAGTCGCCCAGATTTTCAATCAACAATATCCGTAGAAGAGGTCACGTCTTTCACAATTCACGTACAGACGGATAAGCTTTTGGGCCCATTTAACTAGCTTTCGACGATTCTTTTTTATTTGACGGACAGCTGTTAGTATCACGCTTGGGTTTGAAACAAACAGTCCGTATCTAAAGGCTTCATTTTAATTCGTTTTACACAGGTGTTGGAAAGATGATCACCTTTGAGAAACTGGATCGATTACAGTATTTTGGAGAAAACATCACGTGTTCCAGTGGCCATTTGCCGGTTCAAAGTCAGCAATTAAATATTCGTGTACTGCTCAGCTCTGTACCGTTTCCAAAAATTCGTGGTTCTTCCGTATCTTGGGATCCGCTCGGACGAGTGTCAAAACGTATTCTGATCGAATGCGAGGCCAGTCTGATTTATTTGGGTGATGTGATATCACGTGAAGTGGAACAATTCTTCACCCAAGTGACAAGTGAGTGCTCATTGAGTTCGAGTTCTGAGCCAGATGTCGATTCGCCTCAACACTAACCCACTGAATGCTCTCTCTATCCTCCTCCTCCTCCTTCTCCTCCGTCAAAGTGAACTCTGTCAAGATCGACTCAGTTCATTCACTCTTCTGTTGTGTCCACTTTGGACACACCGAGAGTATCATAGAGAAAAGCACAACACATGATCCCGGCTCCAATATATAAGTTGTCACCACCCATCTATCTTTCACATGGTCCCCGTGAAATGCTTGGTCAGTATAACGCTTGAAGTGAACTTCCGGTACCAATTCAATTGCTCGCCGCTGTCAGGTCAAATCGAACTGACTGTTTATTATTCAAGACGTACCGGAACAAACACGAATCGGCAATTCTGATCAGCCTCAGTGTGAACTGGTTGATATAGTGGTAATGCACACCCCATCCATGCGATGGGTCCTAACGGGACTGTGAATAAGCACTACGGATGATGAGCTCTTATAAGAGTGAGACTCGAGTCCATAATGTTCCCGTGTGTATGCCTGACTGGAAGAACTGAGAATTTTGCGTCAAGATGAGGTCTGAAGGATGGTCAATCCAAATTCTGGGCCATATCTTTTATCATCTCTAACTAACGATAATCCTCATCCCTTGGGGCCCAACCTGTGGGATTGACGCGAATCAAAAAAGGATTCCATTCATAGCTGTTTTCCACATTAGTATCCTCGATCTACAACTAGCCTCGGTGTTTTTCATGCTTCTAGGTCAACCAGAAAATCCGTCAAATCACTGAGGATCTTCAATTACACCCCCCCCCCATCAAAACACTGGTTTTTCAGTCATCACTTTCTTAGATAACTTGATACCAAATTAATATTATTTCCAGCTGCTTTCTTTTCTCTCCCCGATTATATGGAATTGCTTTCACGAACTAACACTCTCCGAATCAAATCCTTTTTGGTTTTATTTTTGTTCAAATCATCCACCTGAATAATGAATTTACATTTAACTCACAGTTCCTTGTGAGTAGTGTTGTGGATAATTGTTATTGATTGATTTGAACTGACTATCCTTTGGACTTCAGCTTCACGCACAATCCTCCTCAACCACACACTCGGAAACACTAGACTCGAGTTTCACTCTTATTAGAGCTCACCAGTAGTGCATATCCACCGTCCCGTCCGGGATCTGAACTTCGGACCTATTGCATGGAAAGCGTTTCACCACTGTGTCAACCAGCTCATGCCAGGGCTGAACCGAACAGTTAATTCAAGTTTGTTCAGGTGCCGTCTTTAGAAATTGTCAGACAGTTCAAGTTGACCCAACAGCAAAGAAGGGAAACACAGTTGACTATCTGTTAACTCCAATTGAAAGCCTCCTATCAGGTCTGGTATTCTATGCAGGTTACGGACTAACTAACCACAGACCTACCAGGCTGAGTTGATCTTTAGCATTTAACTCAGTTACGTCTGAGAAGTGTTGTGGGATAATTGATATCAACTGACTCTAACTGACCATCCTTCAAACTTCACCTTCTCACATATTCTTTAGCTCTTCCAGCTTTTCGAGTGTACGGTTGACGTCATAACTGTCATTTTAATAAATGTACGGTGTTCTGTCCATTACTGCTACTGGATAAGCAATTTCCTGATGTATTTGAATTCATTATATCCAGCGGGGATTCTGCCACGATGCGAATCGGGTTCTGTATGTGCCGCAGCTTGAATTTGGTCCGACAGAGCACCACGATTCTGGGGGTGGAGAACTAAGCCCATTCTTAAGGAAATGCACACAGGTGCAATATAGGTGTGTTGGAAATGTTGGAAATGTGATAACCGACAAAGAACACTGGACAGTTGTTCTCCCCTGTTTGGGACTCGTCAGCAGTGCATGCTTTTTATGTCCCTGTCAGGAATCTCCGTCGCATTTATATGTATACAAACAGTGGGGAATTAACGATCTCCCTAGGAGTGAAACCCACACCCAGAAGTATCGCAAAGCTGTTTCGACCCGGTTGGCTCTCATCAGCAGTGCGAATCCATCGACCCAACGATGGGATCGAATCCGGGACATCACAGACAGAACGTCAATATGCTACCTACCGGGCGACTACAGTGGTTCCTAGCTTTTCAGTTCACTCTTCATTTGATCCATACACAACGAATTACTTCTTTGAAATTGTTCACATTATTTCAGTTATGAGATAGGAAAATGTTCTGTGTATAATGAATGCACCTGACATTTCTTTCCAACTCCTGTCTAATACGTAAAAGAACTTTGGACCGCGATCTAGCCAAGCCGCATTTTTCATAGTGTCCGAATTCCGGCTTCGTTGTTCGAGCTCCACGTACGAGCTACATTCGACCAGTCAGGGTGTAAATCGGACAGCAGACTGTTAGAGATGCACAATATGTGCTGTAGCGAAAAAAAGAAAGGAAAGAAGAATAACTGAATCTTGTTCATTCGAATTCACTGGAGAAACAGATGTGCAGAACAAGCTTGCTTTCAGTGCTTTATCTACTGGCCAGTTACAGCACATTGTATAACTGTGGTGATCTTTGTCTACTTCAAATAGTACAAGAATTGAAGGAAGTAACATGGAGAGACAGGATTTTGGTATGTGCAAAATGGGAGTTTGTGGGTGCGGGGGTGGGCGGTGGTTGTTCCAACACTGATCGGATACTTGGTAATAATCCCTCGCGGTGTGTGAACTTCTTCGATTGAACTGTTAGGTGGGGGCACTTTGGACANATGACCATGGGAGAGTAAGAGATTTGACGAACTCTTTGTGTGCACATAATGGGAATTTGTTGATTTCAATCGCTATGACTTCAGCTGTATATACTAATCGGGCTTTAACATCCTTATACCGGATTCCCCCCTCCCCACTTAATATTTCAATGGAAGAATTTCATATTTTGCAGGGGATTATGACCAACTGT